AGGCCTGCAATGCTGCTGAGTGGGGCTATTGGTGACAACCTGGGGTGGGGGGGGCACAGGGGGGGACTGAGTATCACTCCTGCAGAGGCCTGCAGCCCCGCCCCCTTCCTGCAGTCTCCGGATCACATCGCTGAAAGTTGGCAGCTGAACTGCCCAGCTTGGCGGGGGGAGCTTTGTGCTCCTGCATGCAGCAAATGAGCCAAACCAGGTATGCGAGGAGGCGGTAGGTTCTCTGCCCCCCTTCCCCCCCCTGCCCTCCCCCCCACGCCAACATGGCCCTGTGACCCGGAGGTCAGTGCAACGGCCAGCTGAGATTTGGGGCGAAGAACAATGGAGCTGCAGGGGGTTTCTTGGCTCCTGGGACCCCTGGAATGAAAGACTTTGGGAGCAGCTGCTGGGCTGAGCCCATAGCCTCTCAAAGGCCCCCATTTTTTATCATGCAAATGTTTTGCAACTCTGCCACCCCTGAGATGGTTGGCTTCCTTCAGAGGTGAAGGGCACAATTAGACCCGGATAGGCCCCCCGAATTGCGCTTCTCTATCTCGGAGAGCCACATTCTGCAGTCTGGCAGAGGAAGGCAACGGGAAGAAGGCTGGCTGGTTCTGTTGGGCCAGTCTTAGCGGTCCATTTCTGCTGGAGGCCCGTTGGCCACTCCTGGTCTCTGGCCACACTTCTGGCTCTTGCAAACTCGCCTGGGTTGAAGTGTAACCACCGGGGCCGGAAATGTGGCTGGGGAAGATGCCGAAATGTAAAGAGCCCAATTCGGTCGCCGAAGCTCCAGGATAGAAGCCTTCAAGCACACAAAATTTGGGCCACTGGTCTGCTGGTCCCTTACCTGTCTCAGGACCTCTTCCGCTGCTTCTGCCCTCTTGCGTGAACCTCCTTCCCTGTCACCCATCCCACCCGCTGCCTCCTGCGACCATCCCCAAAAGATCTCTCAAAGCACCCACAATTCTTGCAGAGACCCTGCCAGCCTGCCCTGCTGGGGGGATGGTGCCAATTTTAGGTGGCAAAGTTAGCAGGGCGGGGGCACACTTCCGATGGCTGGCTGGCCCTTTTCAGGACATGGGTTTTTTTGGGGGGGGGGGGGGAAATCTTCGCTTGTTTTTTTTTAAAAAGGTTGAATTTAACCTTGCCATAGTCATTCCCCAGCACAAAGACGCTCTTTTCTGCATAGATATCAGAAAAGAATATTGATGATTAATCCAGTCTGCACTATGAACCAGATTTAAGACTTCAGATTCTTGGCTACAACCGACCGAATAGTGAAAATTTGGTTCCTCGTGAGTAACGGTCCTGGAAAAGGGAGGCCAGAGAGCATCCCTCAGGACCTTCCTGGGGCGACCTCTGTTCCAGGTCTGTCGCACGGTGAGGCACAAAAGTTCTTAGTGCAAAATTATTATCATTATTGTGATTGTAGTCTTGACACAACGCACCAACTAGCTCGGGGTTTCTCAACCTTGGTCATTATTCAGAGAGACCCAAGATATATGGAGTCCAACCCCCAGCACGCCAGCGGCTAGGGAAATATGGGAATTGGAGCCCACACATGTTAAAGTTGCAGAGGTTGAGAAACCCTGAGCCAGATCACAATTAGTTTGTTGGTGAACTGACAGTCTTAGCTTGTTTGGCCCTGAGACCTTCACCTCCCCTTCCCACTTCAGTCTCTTGCCTAACCCGTCTAGTCTTAGGGAGTCCTTTGTGCCTGGTTGTTTTCTTTTAGACGTTTTGTTTCCAAACTAGGCAACCTCATCAGTGCTACTGATGCATTGATGTTGCCCAGCTGGGTCCTGAAACATCTGCAAGCAAACCACCCACCTTGGAGAGCGCACAAAAGACCCCACAGACTTCCTCCTCCTCTCTATAAAACCCCTCTCCCTTCTAGCACTGATGACGTTACATAGTTGGGTCATGAAACGTCTGCAAGCAAATAACCAACCTTGGAGAGCATGCCCCCCCCTTGTCTTTCTCTAGACTGGGGGTGTGGGGGGGACTTTTTCTGGCTAGGAAGACCTTTCCTCTTTGTTCTGTCTCACTGAGCTGCCTATCTGGTTATAAACGTTGGCTTGCGATCTTCTTTCGGACAGAGGCACTTTTACAAGGAGGTTTAGGGATATCTTTGTGCATTTTCTACAAGTCCTGGATTACAAGTGGGGTGTTCCTGTATAAACATGTCTATTTTCACACTCAGGATCACCCACTGCTTTACGCAGCTCCACCACTTTCTGTACTCCCACAATCACAGCCTCCTCTTAAAAGAGCAAAAAAACTGAGCGGAGGAAGGCTTCCTCGCCAGCTGGTAAAAGAGTTGTAGCTGCCTGCTTGGTGCCGTTGGTGTGTTTGTCAGTGTCTGGTGTAGCCGCACCCGGGAGAACTTTAATTCTGAGGTTCTGTGTGTTCCGAAGAGTAGTAAATGTGGATCATGGTACCCGGAACCAGAGGAAATTAGGGTCCCTGGTGCTGGGCAGACACCCTACACAAGGGGCATTTGTGAAGTGGGGGGAGCTCCTGAGGTTGTCTCCTCTTCCCGCAGGGGATGATTTGCAGAAGAGCTTGTCTTTTTTTGGGGGGGGGGGGGGGATTGGGGCCTCTGTGTGCAAGATCCCCCCAGTCTCCTCTTTGGTTAGTTGAGGTGAAACCCACCCTCCTGGCACCCCGTCTTTTTACGCCTTCAGCCAAAGGAAATTTGGACAATTCCTGGGGGGGGGGTGTCAAGGATTTGCAGAGACGACCTTTCAGGGGCTACTCCATTTGTTGTGGTACGTGCTGAGGAGGGGTCTTGACTTACGGCCTTGACTTGCTTAACAACCGTTCGACGTTATGATGGATCCCCCCCTCCCAAAGGTCTTGATGGCCTTACTTTTCACCAGGTTCCAATGTTCCGAGCCCCCCACCACACACACACACACAGACACGCTCAACTGCCTTTTGGAGTCTTGGTAACCAGCCTGCATTTGGATCTTTGCAGCACCCCAGGGCCTCTGTGACGTTTTTTTTTTTGTCAAAAATTGCCCTTCTGGTTTTCAGCAAAAAAAAACATCCCAGAGCGAACAATGGCTGACTTTTAACGATCGGCACAGAAACGGTTGTGAAATTGGACGGGTTCCATGCATGACGGTCGCAGATTATGCCGTCATGGGCTCCGCGGGTCCCTCCTGCCCAAGCAGCGTAAGACACACACACACACACACACACACACCCAGGGGCTCCCCTGCCCTGCTTGATAGAGGAGGTGCCTGAATTGGTGCCCTCCCGGGCAGCCCCCCCCCCCCCCCCCCCCCCCCACGGAACAGCTTGGGAGTCAACCCGGCACCAGCAGGCTGGTGGTGGGGTTGGGCCCTGGGTGTTTGGCTAGCTGGGCGAGACGGGCTAACCTCCATTTGGTAAATTTGCTCCCCCTGAAAACCAGGAGTAGCTCCTCCCCGGGGGGTCTTGAGCCGGGATGAACCAGGGACCCCTCAAGGCAGAGGCGGCCGCTAGGGAAGCGCAGCTGCTCACAGCCCCCCCCCCCCCCCCCCCGCCCGCCCCCCCCAACCTTCTCCCCCCCCCCCCCCCTGCCCCCGCGGGGCAGGAGGGGGGGGGGAGGGGGCAGGTACCCTGGAGAGTCTGTCAGGGCAGATGCCTCCCACCAACCTTCTTGGGCCCAACCCATCTGCCTGCTGCTCCTTCCCCTCTCTCCTCTTTGGGGCCTGCCTCAGGGCACCCTGGCACACACACACACAACCTACCCAGCCCGGCTCCTGTTCCCGCTGGCTCTCCCCTCTGCGCCCCCCCCCCCCCACCACTACCATGAGGTTGGTGCAAATGACATTTGTTCTTGGTTAAGCTTCTGGCTTGATTTAGATTCCCTCCATCTGCTGCCTGCCTGGCTCCCCCTTCCTTTGTCTCCGCGTCTGCATGACCCCTTTGTTGCCAACCGCTCCATCTTTGCGCGGCTCCTGCCAGCACCGACCCTCTTCTCCCAGACCGAGGGAGGGGGGGGGAAACCTTTGGGGGACCAGCAAGCTAGGAAAGGCAGCCTCCCCGGAGGGATTTTGTCTCGAAAATGTTGTCCCCCAGATTCTAGCAAAGTGCGAAAGCCAGTTGAACAAGGAGGGCTGGACCAATCCTGGGGAAAGAGGATGCGCGAAGCTCCTCTCTTTGACCTCTTCAAGCAGCCACCTTCTGTCCCAGGTCTTGAGGTCCGTTTTGGGATGTGAAGCAGCTAGAGATGCTCACCTGCATGGAGACGGCCCAAGGCAGGGTCCAAAGCAGCGGGGCCAGACCAGAGTGGGTGCAAAGGAGGGGTTGGCGGGATCCACTCAGGCCTGTTGCAAATACACAGCCAATGAGGAAGGACGGTCTCTGGAGGACGGGGATCTCTGTGCCACACACACACACACACACACACACACCAATGATGCCCTTCTGGCTACCCCTGAGTTGGGATTCCAGCCCAGAAGTGCCATGCTAGGGGGTGCAAGGGATGAGTGCGGAATGTTTGGGGGTCTTCCAGGGCTGGGGGGGGTCACCGAAGTGGGCAGGTGTGTGTGTTGATGAGTGGGGTGAGAAGGCAGGAATTCCATCGTGGTTGGGCCCAGCAAGGAAGACAGGATGGGAAGCTGAGGACGGGCTATTCAGGGGGACGATGGGTCTGGTAGTTTCCTTCCGGTCCTCAGCCCACATCCTTGGAGGCCAGGCTGTCAGATCCTCAGTGGCCCTCGATTCCGGCTGTTGCCTTAGGATGCCAAAATGGAATGTGCCTCCTAACTAGCTACTTACTGTGAATGAGGCAGCCAACCTGGTGGGCATAAGTGAGACCTTGTGGAAGGGTGGCCAGGGAAGAGTGTGCCCAGTCGCTGCCCAGGATCTTTCCTTGTTAATTACACACACACACCATCAGAACTGGTGGACAATGTGGGTCGGGTCCTTCTTGGCTTCTGTTCACGGATAAGAAGACCTTTGCACAAAGCTGCCTTTTCCAACAGTCACTCCTGTCCTAAGGCCTGGGCTACGGCGACATGCTTTACGTGTGGCTTCCCTTGAAGGCTGCTGGGAAGCTACAACTGGTCCCAGATAATTCTGCTCTGCCCGTTGCGTTGCCATCCAAAGCCTGCGGGAGCAATTCAAGCTACTACACCTACACCGCCTTCCTGCAGGAGGCCTACTTACTTACCACTGGTCCTCCCTGGTTGCTCCTCAGCCTGGGCACAATTGGCACAGTCCCGGCGCCTTCCTTTGGGCCATGGTTTCTCCGCCCAAGCAACTTCAAGATGGGTGGACTTCATGCTGGCTGGGGAATTCTGGGAGCTGAAGTCCAGCTGCCTTAAAATTGCTGCGGTTGAGGGAACCCTGCCTTGGGCAACGTGCCCTGATGGGATGGAGGAAGTGTGTCTCCTTTATGCCAGCATCTGCTCTCTGAAATCCTTTCCCCCACCAGGTACCCCTGGCTCCTGCCCTGGCCCCTTCCAGACATTTGGATTTTTAACTGTGTCTTGTGCTTGTTTCTTTTTACTGTATATCACTCAGAGTCAGAGTTGCAAAGCGAGACTTTGTTGTAAATGGAATGGAAAAGAATGGAAGAGGAAAACAGGAGAATAGAAATTGAATATAATAGAGCCATACGTACAACTTCGATAAAGAAGAATAGAATAGAATAGAACAGATATTGGAATGAAGGATGGGATAGGATATGGAAGAGGGAACATGGAACAGAGTAGAAAAGAATAGAAAAGAATATAGAACAAGATAGAATAGGAGGTAGTCCTCAATTTGTGACTGCCCACTTAGCAATTTTTCATATTTACAACCATTTCCAGCATCCCATGGTCAGATGACAGGGATTCAAGATGTTTTTGCAGAAAACTGGCATTTACGTCTGGTTTCTAGCAAGTTTGAGAAACGGGGGTCCTAGGTGAATAGTATCCAGGCTGAGCTGGAATGCACCCAGTGTGTGTGTGTCTGTGTCTGTGTGTGTCTGTGATTGCCAAACTGCTCTTCATATTAGAGAGGAGGCGGAGGAGTTGCTGCCTTCCCATTTTAGCCCCCTTCTGTGCATTTTCCCTCGGTGGCCCAAGTGTGTCGTAAGGCGCCTGCGTCCTCTGCCTCCTTCCGTCTGGGTCCAGCTACTAAGTTTTCTTTCTCCCTTGTTTCTTCTCTCCTTCCAAAGGTTGCAAAATCAAAGCTCTGAGAGCCAAGACCAACACCTACATCAAGACCCCAGTGCGTGGCGAGGAACCTGTCTTCATGGTGACCGGGCGACGGGAGGACGTCGCCATGGCCAGGAGGGAAATCATTTCGGCCGCTGAGCATTTCTCCATGATCCGTGCTTCCCGCAACAAGGCCGGCCCCGCCTTTGGCAGCGCTCCCACCTTGCCTGGGCAAGTCACCATCCGGGTCCGGGTCCCCTACCGTGTGGTGGGCCTAGTGGTGGGCCCCAAGGGAGCCACCATCAAGCGGATCCAGCAGCAGACCAACACCTACATCATCACGCCCAGCCGCGACCGAGACCCCGTCTTTGAGATCACCGGGGCCCCCGGCAACGTGGAGCGAGCCCGAGAGGAGATTGAAACCCACATCGCTGTCCGGACAGGCAAAATCCTAGAATACAACAACGAGAACGACTTCCTGTCCAGCAGCCCCGACTCAGGCATGGAAAACCGCTACTCAGAGGCCTGGCGCGTCCACACTCCGGCCCCGGGTTGCAAGCCCCTCTCCACCTTCCGCCAGAACAGCCTCGGGTGCATCGGCGACTGCTCCTTGGACCCTGCTTACGAGACACCCCGGCTGAACGACCAAAACGACTTCAATTACAGTTACCTCTTCCCTAACTATGGGGTCAACAAGCAAGATCTGTATTACGGGGTCCCCGAGTCAGGAGCCCCGCTGTGGGCTGGCCAGGAAAACACCAATCCAGTTTCCGTGCTCTTCTCCAAACAGCGCTCGGGCAATGCCAGCGCCCTCCACCCCAATTCGCACCGATCCCCCTCGTCGTCCATCCAAGAGCCTCCCCTTTCCGGGCTTCCGAGACGGTCTCAGGGGGAGCCCCTGCAAGGGTTCTCCAAGTTGGGCGCTTCCGCTACCAGCCGGACATCCCTCTCGAGCAGCCGGGAGTGCATGGTGTGCTTCGAAAGCGAGGTCACGGCGGCCCTGGTGCCCTGCGGCCACAACCTCTTCTGCATGGAGTGTGCCGTGCGGATCTGCGAGCGGACCGACCCCGAGTGTCCGGTCTGCCACGCGGCAGCGACTCAAGCCATTAGGATATTTTCTTAAAAGCAGCAGCAGCCGCGGAAACCCTGGCAAACAGGAAGAAGAGCGAGCGAGAGACAAGACGGATGGATGGAAGGACACCTGAAGCAGGAACAAACACAGGAGAGAAACGGACATTCATTTAAGGAGGAAAGAAACTATCTTAGGAGCAATGTATGTTATTTTTAAAGAAAATAATGATCGTGATGAAGATGATGGATGCGATTTAACTGGAGAACCTATAAATATTTGGGCAGGAGATTTGATAGCAGTGGTTGGCGGTGCTGATTTTCGGCGGTGAATTCTTTTTCGAGACGGTCTGGGGTGGGGGGTGGCTGGCCTTCCAGTGGATCAGGGGCACCTCCTGGTGATCGAGGAACTTCTCCTTGGGGGCTTCTGCTCCTTTTCTCCCCAACACCCCAGCTCTGGTCGCGGCCACAACATGGCCGGAAGGTCTTGGCCGGCCTGGCAAGACAACAGCTTTGGAAGGAACTCAATCAGAAGGACAGGAGAAACGAATGGACGAGAGAGAGAGAGAGAGAAGCCCCTGGGAAGGTGATCAAACAAGGGCACAACTGCATTACCTCAACATTTAAAAAGAAAAAGAAAAAAAAAGAAGCAGCTAAAGACCTTTATATTCTGTTTCCTGTATTTTTTTCTAAGAAAAGGAGTTTAATGAAAATAAATAATATTTGGGCCAGGGAAAATGAGCAAAGGGGTCGGAAGATTCCCTGGGTGGATCCTCCTGGCTACTTTAACCTTTTCGTTTGGAGTCTTCTGAGCCACCGTAAAGGGTTTTGAACACTGAGCTTTCTTTTTCTATTCCAGCAGGGATTCATCTAATAAGAATCAGGAGTCACTAACAGGGTATTTCCAAAAAAAAAAAAAGAACAAAAGTCCCGCGTGCAAATCAAGCCCTCCAAACTTCAGGTGGGGGTTGACCTCCATAAGCGTGCATTTCGTGATGCAAATCTCAAAGACACATCCATGCAGAAGAGAAGTATTTTTTTTCCCTTTTTTTTCCTCACTTGATTTTAACAACAGTTTCACATTAAAACCGAAGAAAATGGACACGCAATACTGGCAACAAAGACCCATTTTAATCCACAACCCAACACAATGCAAAAAAAAAAAAAGCAACCACCACACACACTAGTAACTATTCAAATTAACCTGTTCATATATAATTTTGTTATCTCACTGGACCAAAACTTTTGTTACTCAAAATCAAGTAAAAAGATTTAAAAAAAAGAAAAGAAAGAAAAGAAAAGAAAGAGTATTTCCTTATGGACCAAAACCTCTTTTCACTGTCCTCATCTGGATCTTCCTGAGGTTATCTAGTTTTATATATTCTATTTTTTTCAGAATGAAGCAGACACATGCTCAAAAAAGATAAGGGAAAAAAAGAGGAAAAAAAAACCTAATATTGAATTGCCTTGCAGATCATCCTTAATCATTTCAAGACATTTGACTGCTGCTTTCGCCACCTCAGATCCTTGGTCCAACTTCTGGGATGGAGGCAGCTGCTGCACTGATCTCCCTGTGGATTCACATCCAGCCACGTCACTTGGCTAGATTTATTCTGCTGGCTACCTGGATGCCACACTGCAAAGGGGTGGAACAAAACAACACACACACACACAAACACACATACATATTCCTTTTCTGCCTATTTCCTGTTACATTTCCTTAAACTTCTTGTTTGCAGAAGGAAACTTTGCAAGCTCAGAGATGGTTGGAGAAGACAAAAGATTCTGGTTTGGGTTTTGCCTTGGAAGACTTTTGTTTCATCACCACGTAGCGTTTCTTGGGGGAAATTTCTTCTTTTTCTCTGTCCCAAATATCACCCTCTGACCTCGGTTGATTTCTCCCAGGCCCTCACGGACGGTGCCAGGTCCACCACTTGCAGCCATGCCCCCTCCATTCTGGCGTAGCCAATCCCTGCCTCGGGAAGAAGCTCACAGCTATGCATGTACCCCACGCTTCCTCCCTTGGCCACCGAAGAAGCCCCCCGCAATCCCGCAGGGGATGCCTGCCCCCGCCTTCAGCTTCGGAGGTTCTGCCGCCTGCCCCGACTTCTCACGATGCCAAATCCCACCTCAAGCCATGCTTTCTCAGCCCAGAGAATGCCCGCAGCCCTGTCTTTGGGCCAGCCTGGCCAACCTTGGGCCAAAGGTGTCACCTGGCCAGGATCTCTTTTTTGGGTGGCGGCGGCTGTTCTTCTTTATGACGAGAACATCCAGGTCTTGCCCAGGAGTGGAAGGAGCCAGGGCCAAGCTGATGCATGCCCGCTCACTCGCTCTGATGTTCTGCATGCAAAGACAATGTTTGAGTGAACGGGGACCTGTCAGCTTCACCTGGGCCTTTGCACCTGTCCTGCAAGGTAAAGTGGCTTCGGTCTGCACTGCAGCTCCACCTGAAGGCCGTTGCATCCCGACGAGTGGCGTTTCATCCCCAGGCTACTCAAGCCAGTTTTGTGCCTGGAGAAGCTTCCTTGCGTGCAACTCCACCCCTTGCGTGCACTGAAGTCTCAGCGCTCCAGGGTGGCTCCCCTCCTCACCTGGCCGGAACCGAGCAGCCCACCCGCCCACCCACCCACTCCAGTCATTCAGCAGCATGAAAACATTTTTCTGGCCAAATGGAACCAGAGGAGGACCACAAGGCGGTTCTGTTGGCCCCGAGTCAGCAAAGGTGCCCGAATGCAGTGCCGTCTCTGCAGGGGAGGCCAAGGGGTGGGTGGGTGCCCCATCCCAGCACACCAGCCAAGCAACTTTCTATGCATTCCTTTCGGGAGCCAGAACCAGACTGACCGATTCCCTGGCTCCGTGTTTTCTTTTCACCGTAAACCCCTCATGGATACCCCAAGTTCTGACCGCCTCCCTTCACATTCTATTTTGCTGGGATACACACACACACACACACACACACACACACACACATACTCCCGGAGAAGAGGAAAGAAAGGAGGGGAGAGGGAAGGCAGTCGTTTTGGGGGGGGGGGGGGGGGGGGGGGCGGCCCACGGGGGGGGGTGGGGAGGAGGGGGGGGGGTGAAGTTTGGGGGCAAGGCAGGAAGTGACGCTGGGGCTCCCCTGGAGTTCTTGGCAGTTGTTTTGTAAGTCACGTGAAACCATTTTTGGTCAATGTTGGGTTACTTTATGCCAGGCGAGGGGGATATGAGGCAAAGAGGTTTTGCTGGCTGACGGTTGTCTATCGGGCTGGGGTCCGAGACAATACCTGTCCCTTATCCTGGGGGGGGGGCAGGGAAGGACCGTGTGCCCGGAGGGGCAAGTGGATTAGCCCTATTCCACCCCCCACCCACCCCTGTTATCTCCTGAGTAAGGTGGAAAGTTGAAACCACCTTTCCACCATATTCACCCATGACGAATATATTAGAATATTTCCCCTTTTAAAGAATAGATGTGAATATAAAACCCACCTAATTAAAACTGGAGGGGTAAGGAACCAGGCTGGCCTTACCCCTCTTTAATTTTTAAAAAAGAATAACATTTTAGTTCCAATAATCTTTTATCTATCATATATATGTATGTATGTATATCCACATATGTATGTATATATATATATATATATATGTACATATATGTATGTGTATGTGTTTATATGTATGTATGTATATGTATGTGTATATAGTATGTATACACATACACCTCTAGTTTAGTAGCAGTATTTTAGCTCCCACCTTTTAAGATATATATACATATATAAAAGCATACATACATACAAACATACATACATACATATATATATTTCTGCCCACCTGTCATTATTTTTAATGTTGAGAGGAAGAAAGAAAGAAAGAAAAAAAGAAAAAGAAAAAAAAGAAATTGACCAGAGTTGCAGATCCTCCCCTGCAAAACCAAGATCTTTCTTGGGTGGGTGGGGGGGGAACGGGGGGGGGGGGGGGCTCCTGCATTCAGCTGGAAAGGAATATCCCGTGGAAGGCATTCACACATTGAAATTCCCTGCGCTTCTTCTAGGAAGGGCATGAGAATAATTTTTTTAAAATATATGTATGTATGTATATTTACTTCATGCTTCATACACACACACACACACACACACGTATATATATATATATATATACTTAAAAGATTTTTAAAAATGCCCATGACCTTAATTTTTGGCTCTGACCTGTATCTTCCTTGATAGGGAAACAGAGATCTCTTGTTGGTCTGATTCACCAGCAATAAAGGGGAGAAAAATTGATGAGATCCTTTTTTTCCCTCCAGGTAATCCTTCCAGTAGGATCAGGGGAGCTTATGGGATCTGCAGCAAATGTCCGGCCTCCCTAAACCCCCCCCCCCTCCCACTACGAGAGACTGGGCTGCAGCAGAGATGGGGGGGCAGCTGGGCACCAGGGGCAAGGATGCCAGTCCCCAGGAATGGCATCGACCGGCCTTCCGCTTGGCTAGTCTTGGGGTGAGCAGGCAAAAGTGTTTCCCAGCCCCCACGGCTGCCCTCATCCCTGCTGCCAGCCTGGGGCATTTGGAAGGCCTTGCTTTCCTTACTTGGCCTCTCTCTCTCCTGGAGGGGTGCCTGATTTCTGGGGCATTTGGGAACCAAGACGTTGCCTGTTGCCGGCTGACCTCACGGAGATGTCCCAGAATTCCTTGGAGGAAGCCATTCCTGGTGCTTCACCAGTGCAAGGGGTGGTGGGTGTTGGTGCCACCTGAGCAGACCACCAACCTCCCAAGGGCCAGCCTGGCCAGTGCCCGAGGGTTGCTTGGTCGCCCGCCAACCCTGCTTTGGCACCACCCTGCGATTGGGGGAGACCCTGGTCACCCAATCCAGCCGGTGGTGGTTACCCCACGTTCTGGCCAGTTCTGCTGTGTAGGGACAGGGGCATCGAGCACCTACGGCAGGCAAGCCAAAGGTGCTGAGGCTTGGAGGGGGCTGAAAGAATAGCTGGAGTGTCTTTGCGGTGCCTTCCATGGCATCCTTGGTTAAAAAAAGACCATCCGCCGCAGAGTAGACTTCAACCAGCTCAGTCAGGCTAAAGCTCTCT